ATCAGAAAAGAAATAAATACGCCATTATTTTGATTATCAAATTATTGCCTTTTCCTTTCAAATATTAAGATTTTCTGCTGTACTCCATTTTCTATCTCTGTTAAGTGAATATCTTTGAGTTTTAGACTGTTGGTCAGAAAAAGTATTTTCTGACATTTTATAGAGTAACCAAGTAATTGAGAAAATAATTGTTAACAGCAGAACTACGTTCAAACAATATTTCACAACAGATAGGATGTCTGTGCTGCACCTATAAAAGATAATTCAACTAACAAACTACGAAGCCAAAGAATGAGAACACTGATAAGGGTTTGTGTACCATGGCAATAATGAACAAGAGTTTGTATCGACTGTGTAAGTAAACCAAACATACTTTGCATTTACTATCAGTAAACACTCAATAAACCTTGCTTTGCTATGACTCCCAGTCAATTGACCAATCACTGAAGCCAAAAAGAAGTCGGCTCAAGCTGAACTTCTGGTCGAGATTGTTATTCAGCCACCAATCACATCGTAGCAATACTCACTACCCCGCCTATCCCTGAACACTATTTGCGCTGCACCTATCAATCAATTAACCACGCAGTCGCATGGCGATCCGGGCCTCATTGAAAAACAGCAGGAATATAAAGTTAGGCGAACTTCTTCACAATATATAGTTTCAGACGTGAATGCAGCCATGTCCATCTTTACTGAATTCACCAGGCAGGAGAGGACCAGTGGCGAGTTGTTCAACTGTAGTGTCACCAACATATACCGCATGCAACCAACACGATATGAAGAACTTGGAACAAATGTATGCTTTCCAAATGACTACAACTAGTTGGCCAGGCTGTTATGGTCAAAACACATGATATAAGCGTTAACTGTGGTATAGTTTTTCAGATAAATCCATGCTGCTTGTGGTAGCACACAGATGCTTTGTCAGTGGAGACAACCAATTCAGAGGGGGCGCAAGTCATGTTTGATGGGGTGTGGACGTTTGCAGTACCGCTGTATTTTTGAATGGGAGTTTGGCGTGACGCGTGTCGGGGCTGAAGAAAGGCTAGCCAGCTACTTAGCAATTTAGATAGCCAGCTAACTAACGCTAGCAGGGGACTAGCTTAGCTCACCACGTAACGTGAATGGTAACCAGACACCAAAGCACCCAACAAAGCACGTTGTATTTTTTTTCCATAAACTGCTGTTTCAATCTGTGCCGAACACAAGTAATTTAAACGTCTAATGTTTTATTCGGCTGGAGAAATCTCCGCCATTTTGTCTTCTCTTCCCTAACAAATCCATGTGAACTGCTTTACCTGCGTCTCCAAGCCCCCTGCGCAGGGAGACTGAGGGGAGGGAGAGGGGCCAGGCAGTCTGCACTGACCGTTATCTATTAAGAGCCTTACCGTCGTATCTCTCCGCTTGTTCGGCGAGTTTTGCCTGGTATACTAAGTTCTCTCTATCCGCCATGGTGCTCGGGTGTTGGAGCTGTTCGTAGCGTCCCGGTGGAAAGGGAAGATTATCGGCTGCTCGGCGATTCCTAGTGGTGGATCAGCAACAGCACCGTCGCTCCGCTGAATCGAAGACCCACCGGTGGCACTGGCGTAAAGATGGCGTCGCTACTCCATCCGGGAAACCCACGCAGCAGTCTACATCTACGCCTACATCCTCATGCCAGGTCCCGAAATAAATCACTCTCCGAGATCACCCCACCAAACTCAGTTCAAACACCCCCAAATCCACTGTCAAGAAACTTCTTCATACATGTGACATTTCAATAATTCAGTTCTTCTGATTCAACTGGAGCAACTCTTCCATTCGGAATACATATATAAAGCATGAACATGCTTTTGTGTTTTAAAATAAAGCATTTTTACTTATATAGGCTCATTTTATGTGATAAATAAGAATAGTATATACTGTATCTGAGTGTAAATTTATTTTAGTTTAATCCAATTTTTTTTTTTTTTGGGGGGGGGGGTATTTTAAATTTCTGAAATAATATTGTAGTTTAATTTACCTTTAATATTAACCACTTTTAAGTAGCTATAATTAAAATGCAGATTTCAAGTCTTGAAAATAAAGCTATCTTGCAAGAAGCTTATCGTTTTTATCTGAATAACCAATTTCCTTACAATTATAACCTAACTACTAATTACTATGGTGCTACACAGTGTAGTGATTGTTCATAGTAATGTACAGTATATGATGTAATGGGAGTGCAGAGGAATTCAACTACAAGGGTTAGGGTTTGACCCAGTGACACAAATAACTTAACTCAATCTGCTCATTACTGTCTAATTATAATGTAATAGTTTACTAGACCGTAAGACCACAAGTCTGCATTAATACTAAATGTAATTAAGTGGAATAAATTCAGACAGAAATGTAAAGCATTAACTGACAATTTGGTATATTTTTATTGACTAGGTATATTAACACATTACTACAGAAAATAAGAAGGCAATTATAACTTCAAATAATATATTTTCATAACACTTTGACATATTGTACAATCTCTTTAAAAAAAAATCCTATTTTTGCTTGTTCCGGTCCTCTTCAAAGTCAGGCTGAAATGGCATAAAAGCAAAAATATTTGATCATAGCAAAAACAACGGAACAAAGAAAAACATCATTATTTGGCATGTTGAGTCTTGAGCTGTGAAGGAGATAAGGTGCATATTGTAGAATCATCAGTGGTATCTTTTAAGAAAAAAAAACATTTCTTAAGTATTCATTGGACTTTGCTGAATTACAATAATGTCATGACTATGAAATGAGAATATTTCTCTCAAAAGGCAACAGTTAGTGTGAGTTCAGTGACATGCATCTGAATGCAACACCCAATTAACACTTTGCATAAAGGCATTACAACAAACAGAAAGAAGGATCTTAAAAAAAAATCAAGGGGTACCATCACAGAATGGACAGTGAAACACAAGCACTTCTTTCCATTCAAAGAAATAATGTGGGAAATGTGGTAGAAGGAACAACCATCACTGACACATCATCTTTTTTTATACCGATTAGATATAAATTATGCAAAAACTAACCATACTTGACAGTTGACATCACATTTAGCATTTTTCTGAGTTTTTCATTTCAAATTATACATTAGATAATTTAAAATTCCTACACATTAAAATCCATCAATGATGTTTTTTGGGATATCTTTTTTAAATGTTCTACTTTCCTCAAATCACTAACACACCACATTTGGAGCATCACACTTTATAGTCATTTCACTGTTGTCACTAACAGTCATTTAGTGTTACCCGGTCACCCATATACCCATGTAAGGTCTATACAGGCACTCTGTGCTAGTGAATCATGTAGTTACACATAACTGATTTCTTTCAGCATATTAACCACTAATTGTGATCAAGTCATATTTTTGCTTCAAGAAACATGTAATATGAGCATTTGAACTATAGCAGGTGTTTATGAATATATATGGGGCTGCATATGAGCCACACTTGTGGCTCATATTAATAAACAAAGATATCAGGGTAAAAAAAATAACATAATTAATGTAGTGTACAAAAAATAAGCTCTTTAAATTTGAGACTCAAAAACAAAAAGCAAATTGAGGGAACATTTCACAACTTATAAAAACACTGTAAACTCAAGACTACATTTTAGGACATATGGGGTCAGATGCATAAAAATTCGGTGTAGGTTTAAGACCAACTTTCTACGTTTGTACAAAAGCAGTAATATGGATATGCACTCTTTCACATCCGTTTTGTAAATCTCAGTTATTGTGAAACTGTGCAGATGCATCAGCCTGATTTCGCCTCACACAGTTAGCTGCAACTGGACACAGACGCACCTTTGGTCAACTATTTGTAGATCTGCTCTACAAAACTTAAGGCGTGCCACTGAAGAGAACAGAAAAACATGCTGATCATCAGCTGCATGGTTCTCCACTGACATCCAGCCAGGACACCGTGCCATTAACTGCATCTATAATACAGGCACAGTAGGTGTTTAGGCCTATACTTATTTTTAGATTTTCTGCTTCACCGTATCACACTCATCTCCTTAAAGAATACCATGCACGTGCTGTTTTGATGTGTGTGTCTCACCATATCTTTCTTATAACAAATATATGTGTGAAATGACACATGAAGGTTTTTTTTTTTTGTGTGTGTAGGCATCATTTATACATCTGACCCCAGGACTTTGTTCAACTTGTGATTTGGAAAGCAAACATAAAATCTATTTATGTGAATGCTCTGGAAACAATTTGCCAAGCATGTTATTCTTTTTTTTTTTTTTTTTAAACATATAAAAAACAAAAGTGAGGGACTGAGCCTTCAGGCCTCAGGGCCAGTTCCTATTCAACTCCTCATCTTTTCCAATCCATGAGACAATGAGGTAGAGAGGATGTAACTCAGCAGATCCTCCCCAGTGACTGATAAAAAAAAAAAACGTCTACATGCAGCTGGGGTTTGTCACTCACCCTGTTCCTACTGTAGTTCAGCATTGCCAGCAAACAAGAAACATTCACGGCATTTACAAATCATGTAGGAAGATGATACATACGAGTTTCTGACTTGGGAAGACTAAAGTACAAACCAATTTTTAGTCTCTTTTAACATGTGAATAATAAGACTATGACCACAGGATGCATTTTTCTCTCAAAAACAGTGTTATTGTCTCTGGTAACAGCAGTTCATCAGTGTCATTGCCATTTACCACATTTTAAAACCATTTCCAAACCACCTTATAAGTGTGCACTAGCTTACACAGGCTAACACAGGAGATAATGTTAAAGAGGACAACCCTGCTTTTGAGGAAAAAAGGTCTGACAGCACATTCTTCTAAAACAGGATGTTGTAAAATGACATTTAGTTGAGAAATAAGACCATTTTATAGTTTATTTTCATATTGAAATAATGCTCTGTGGGTCTGTGTGTGTTTAAAAAAAAAAGAAGCTTCATGTGTAATCATAGCTTGTGTTTTCAATGTGGAAAAAGCTGATGAGAAACAATAAACCTACAGTATCACTACAAGTATCAGTCACAGCACCTTGGTGGCACAAGAAATGACCAAGTGACGTATTCTCTGTTTTACCGGCACATTAAAAAAATGCAGAAGCACTAGTGTTAGGGTGGATTTTTTTTTTTCCTCTTAAAAACATTTGCAACTGATAATGTTATAAAAAACCCTGCTGGAAGACAAAAATAAAATCCCTCAACCTTTCTCTTCTCATCTTCTAAAACGGCCTCGGGGGATCCGTCTGTCCTCTGCGACAGGGTGATTATTTTGTTCTCTCACACTGCTGCATTTGAAGTCATCCATGTTGGCACTGAATAGTGTTTTAAAAGAGGAACATAAAATAACAGGCGTACAGTCTCTGGTAACAAAAAGTAAAAGAAAATCAAATGTAGGAAAGGAAACAAAATGTTTACAGTATTTAGCAATGTAAGGTGTGTGTGTGTGTGTATATATATATATATATATATATACATACATATATATATATATATATAGTCAATTCTATCATAATATTTTCCACTTTTAGTACAAAAAAAAGAGGACTTGGTTTGTAGTGTGGGTAGTATGTAATAAGTCGGTGAAGTCGTCTTTGCGAGGAGGACCGTTCTTCTCCATGAGACGGAGGGATCAGGAAAAGTCTTTGCTCGTTTCGCTCTGAGGTTCACAGTCTACAAAAACTCACTGATTCATGATTCTGTGAGAGAAGCCGAGTGTTTCGTCTCCTGTGTGCAATCGATTATTTTTCCCTTCTGTGTATGAATGAATTGAAGTGGGTGGGGATACACAGATTACGGCAGGAAGGGAGTAGGCTGATTTCTGCTTGTGCAGTGCAGATTTCAATACTGGGCTGAAGGTGTGTAAACTAGGGTTTGACTGATATCGGTAACTGGTGCCTGATACTGTGCTCACTGTGGACTGAAACTGTCTGAAACTCACATACTTGTTGATATTAAAACTCTTCATTTGATCATTTTCATTTGTTTTTGACTTGTAACAATCTAACTGGTCTTTAGTTTGGTTCAATCGGTCCAGACCAAAGGGAAAAAAACATCATTGCCTTGTAGTTCTTAATCCTTCTATTTCCTGTTCACATTACTTATTATAAAGGAGCAAAAAGTTGTAAACATTAAATGATATGGACTGACAGGTAATGCTCATGGTGAAATAAATGGTTGTAGGAATTATTAGTCAAGACTGCAACTGAACCTTGTGTGTGATAAATAATCCCTAGTAGGTAGAAACAAGACAATAAAGAAGTGTCTTGTGCTGTAACATTACGATCCACAATTCGACTGACACCCGCCAAAAGCCGAGCGAGCTAAAAGAAGTAGCTCATCTGAACTAAACACCGAGCAGGTTAGGTGTGAAAGCTGTAAATAAAACTGAAGTTACTGAAAGTTGACTTGTTTTCTCTTTTGACTTTGCTAGGTTACTGTTTACCCTTGTTTCTAGTGGTGGAGCTAAGCTAGACTAAACATACCTCTCTCTGTATGAGTTACACTGGAGATAAAACTGATAACTGATCTTCCCATGATTCTGGGTAAGACAACACACAAGTGTGTTAATTTGCAAGTTTGACACCAATAAATATTAAACAACTATATGTCGCTGTCTACTTGATGGAAATATTTCACTGCAGGCTTTTGGGATTTTTTTTTGAGGCTGTGGTCATGGAGGAAGGCAACACTAGTTTTGGGTAATGCTGACTTAAGCTTAATATAGGCAAACCGATATCAGTCTGACCTTAGTGTAAACCCTTAGTATGACCGATGTCCACCAAAATGACATTAGGCAAGATCACCCGACACGTGTCGTGTGGGTTTAGCTCATAGGTTCATGTGCTGTGTGCTTGTATAAATATGTTTTTCTTTCTGAGCATGATGAAGTGGCCAAAAGAGAAGGGATGTGCGCAGGTGATGGGAGTGCGTGTGTGTGTCTCAGCTCTCGTCGTCAGGATGGTGTTGTTCCAACAGTCGGACGTGGGTGAAGGGAAAGTGGCCTCGCTTGCCCTTGCACTCGCCCTCCCACTGGCCGTTCACGTTGATCTTGGTCACTTTTACCATATCTCCCACCTGACAAATGACAAGAAAAAGAAAACTGCTGAATGCAGGTATATAAAATCACATAAACACACTTTGTCTCTGCACTCCGTATTAACTGGCAGAATCAGTTCGTGCAATTCGAACCCATCAATACAAGATCAATGTCAAATTCTATAAAGCCCGCAGAAGGAAAAGTATTGACATAGAATTGACTGACCCATCTTCATTTTTACAACAGCAGAACAGCAAAACCACAAACCAACATACAAGAACTGATCTATACTACAGGGTCATTGGAAATACTTTAATGTAAAATCATATTTTATTTAATGTGAGGAATTGCATTAAGCTAGTTCCGAGTCTTCAAGCCTGCCAGATGTTCAGTTATTCATGTTTCCATTATACCACTACCAGTTGTACAAATGCAATGTTGGAAATTGGGAGGCTATTTGCTCTAATCAATCAGTTGTGAGTAACTTGATTGCTGGGAAATGCTGATTTAAGAACCGTTATTTCTCAGAGTCAATAGCTGCAGCTAGCTATGTAGCACTCAGACATCCACACTCTTAATCCCACCTACAAAGCTGTGGATGGTCGACTGTTTCCTCCAACCAGGAGAAACATCTATCAATACAGGGCAAAACACCACAACTATTTGAATTGCTGAACAAATTGTTTGGGTTAATAAAAATGGGTTAATTGAGATGTCTGGAGGAAGCTACAGCAGCTTTAGCCCAGACATTATGTCATATTTTACATTTTATTTGCCTCATTTTATTTGTAAGTCAAGTCTTCCTTGCAGTGCCTACTTTACATGGGTTACAGAACAGGTGAGGCAGGAAAAGTAAATAACAGTAAGTGGATGAAACTCGCAGCACGGTGTAATTCCTGGTTATAAACTGTGCTGCAGACAATACAATTTAGAAAGGGTTTAATTTCAAAATAACACTCCCAGATGTAAATTACTGATTAAATGCTCGTACTTCTCCACAGCGAGAGGACTGAACACAGCCCTGTGAATCTTAACTACACTGTCTACACTTGGACAGACCTCACAAATACTCTGTGATCCACTTGACAACAGCAGAAGTTCATAAACACACTGCAATGTCATCTAGTCTGCTCCATCTCACACAGCGGCACGCATACACAGTCCTCCGCTCTTGTTAAATCAAACAAAATGGTGGCGTCTGTGTTTCTTGAGAAGACTCAAATAAACGGGGCTAAACAGAGAAGAGCATCCTGAGCCTCGACAACTGACGGCAGTGGAATTTAAGAGGTGGCTCTGTTCAAAGTCGGTGCCAAACCAGCACTCGTCCAAAGGTGATGTGATGGACATTTTTCACAATTATTTCACATTTCAAAGGTGAAATAAATCAACAATGAAGAAAATAATGAGCAGAAATATCCATCTTGAAAATAATTATTAGTTGCAGCCGTAGCTAGGGTAATTAAAATCCTCCTACTTCAGCAGATGTAATTCATGGAGTGGGTGTGCAGTAAGTCAGCAGGACAGGCTCATTAAGCATCAGTTTGCTGACAGTGAGGTGGTTGTGGTAAACAGTGTGTGTGATGTAGAGACACTGCGTTACTCTAACTGGACTCACAATCTAAATTGTGCCTTTTTTTTTTTTAAACCTCCACCATTGTTTGCATGTCATTTGATAATCTGAACAAACACTGTTTATTTATCTGCTTCAAGACAACAACTAAAACCAATGTGCCTTGTTTCACCAGTAGTAATGAATGTAACATTCACATTAATGTGTACATAAAGAAAGGCCATTGTAAAGGATCTGTGTCTGTCTTTCTCTATGAAGCCATCCCACTGTGAGTGTCTTCATGTGCGCTGTCAGCTTGCATTTGTAAAGATACTTTGTGTGTATGCTCACATGCATGAGTAAGCCATTAACAATCAGGACAATCTAGGCTGCCTCAGCTGAGACCCAAACAAAAAAGAAAACAGAGAAGCAAAAGAGGTTAACAGTGAATAGAAGGACAGCCTTGGAGAAAATGAATGGTGGGTGGCAATGCTACCTCCAGAGCAAGCGCCGTCTTGTCGTAGGCGTTGGGCACCCTCTTCTGAATGGCTCGGGCATACACAGGCCCGTTCTGTAGGTTGGGAAGCTGAGTGTTGACTACTGGCTGAGCGTACTGGCCTGGGTCCGCCAGAGGGTTTGGCGGTGCGGCCCCTGTTCCGTCTGTGCCGCCCGCTACCCCTCCAATTTGCCCCCCCTGTCCAGCCCCCACAACAGGGGGACCCAAGCCCGCAGCAGTGGGCGAGGCAGGCCGGTACTTCTCTACGTAGGGCACGGGGATCATTCCGGCTCGGCCCTCCTGGTTTGCAGCGTTCCACCACTGCTCCTCAGGCTTCTCCAGCACACGCAGAATGTCACCGGTGCGGAAGGGGAGGTCCTCCTCATCGTTGCCCGGGAAGTCAAACAGCGCCCGGACAAACTCAGCCTCCTCGGGCTGCTGCGGCACTCCAACAGAGGAGCTGATGAAACCTGTGTGCTTGGCCTTGCTTACGGGCTCTATAAGTGTAGTGGTGTCCAGGTAGTGGATCTTATAAAACTCAAGCAGGGCCGGCAGCGCCTCAAACTCCTGATCCCCAATCCGAAACCGAGGAGGAACCAAACCTGACGGGAAGAGTGATTTTTGTGAGTTCTCTGAAGGTAAAACATAACAGAAACAAACAAATCAACAAAATACTAATATCAAGATCAAGAAGGCCCACGATTACTGGCAGCACTGACCATCTCGCCCTGACTTTGTGGTCACATTGCACGCCAGAGGATTAACCATTCTCTTACACTTCTGTCATATGAACTGGACAATGTCTGGACCTGATTATTTAGACATTGTCCGGACTGCGGAGTTTCCCTTTCACACAGCAGGAGATTGACCATGTGAGATGCTTTCTCACCTACTGGATATACTCTGTTTGGTTTAGGTGAGGGGTGGCACCTCGGTAAAACGTGCAGGAGACAGAACGCCATCAACACTCCCACTTGCTCGTTGTGAATTCTCTGGTCTGGTTCAGGGTTGCAGTACATGTGTGAAAGGACTATTAAATGTCCAATCATACCCTACTGAGGAAACGAACCTTATGTGCAGCTGCTTAACAACTTTTCTTTGAAGACATCTAACACAAATATACTTCGTACACACAAAAAATGAGTATGTTTCAGAATAGTTCCCATATCCCAGAAAAGGGGCGGAACTCATGATGGCAGCCGAACAGATTGGATGGGTCAACAACATTCTCACAGTAGGGGGATGATGAGGCTCCTAATGACCCTGCCCACATTCAGGATCCAGCCCCAAACAGAGATAGTGTAATTGTTTTTTTTCACTGTATATCTTAAAGAAAAATACAACAACCAGAATGTCTGATTTGGGGTGATTCAGTGATTTAAATCCATGACAAATCAAAGTGATTCATTAAATTAATGCAATAATGCCATAAAGCAGTCCTGTTCACCGATTTGCAGTGTTATCCAGAATGGCCTAGAGATATTAAAAAGATGGGTACCTCACTATAAACAATAAAGCAACATCTCTACTGGTTAACAAATCCATAACACAGCATCACCCAATCCTATCAAAATGTACAATAAAATGCACTGGCACTAGTGCATTTCATTTCGATGTGTTTTACACTTTTGAGTGTAAAGACTGGATATTTTTAGTGACCGTGTTCATGCAATGAATCAAATTTGATTTGCGTCAATTTGAGAGACTTAATAAGAGAAAAGCTGTTACACTCATACCCTCTGCAAAAAGATATTTATTTGTCACTGACACTTTTGGTCTCAGATTTTATTCTTGTTTAAAAAAAAAACAACACAAAAGCTGATCTTACTTTGGTACTATTCCCACAAATCGGTCACTTACTTACCTATTTATGTAACTTACTGTTACATAAAGTCATTTTTCATACTACCATCATATAACTGTCATAACGGCTCACAATTTTTGTTTACACTAGGGGAGACAAAGATAAAAATTAGCCAATGCTAAGGAAGCCCAGAAAGGATTGCGCAACGGCCATAAGGAGCTTCAAGCACAGCAGCAGCAGACCTGTAAGCAGGGCTATGTATGTGCAACAGGGCAGGATCACAGACATTCCTGAGACGCCAATCTGACCAGTCATCCTCCAGTTGTGACAGCCCAGCCTGCCCATTTCCATTCAATATCTGCAGCAGCGGCAGCAGCAGCGGCGGCGGCGGTAGCGGTAGCGGCAGCGGCAGCAGCGGCAGCCCAACCCACCTCCCTACCGCTGGCCGCTGAGCTACCGTCCTGCTGCCTAAACATGGACAAAACACCGCCTCAACCCCCGGTCAGGAAAAATAAATTAACGGTCTCAAGTATGGTGGCTGGATAGATTAAGTCTGAGTGGTTGTTGACAGCTAGCTAGCTAGCTACACGGTAAAGTTTCGCCAAACTCCATTTAAAAAGTACTCCACTTCACTCTACTTGGCTAGCAGACGATTTGTACAGTATAACTTATGGCCTTTACAGTGTCAGGTTCAACTGATATATCTGATACAAGAGAATTAGCCTCTTTAAAGCAACCCTACATATAATTTCAGTAAAAAAAAATTGTTAGCACTTGAGACAGACTTCTGTTTTATCCACAGTAGCTTGGCAGTTAGCAACACCATCCAAAATAGACAGTGGTGGATGGTAGCGAGCAGTGTAAAGCACATGTTTAAGTTTTTATTTCTATATATTATTAAATTGTATATATGCTGACATTGAGTGTGCGCTCCAATAACACATAAAAAAACTTTAACTATGCGATAAAGGGAACGTATATTAGTAGATTTACGGAGATCAACTTAAATTGGACAGTTCGTAATGGCAGTTTGGCGTGGCTTCACGAGAGAGTGGGACGTTAACGGGGCTAAATCCAAGTTATCCAGCATTAAAATGAAAGTACTTATTGTCACGTCAGTTTCGGGAGACCATGTGTGATAAGTTGAGTGAAGCAGCAAGCTATGCGACACATAATTCAGCGTTACCTGAGCCAGATTGCCGGTTGTTACTGATGCTGTTGATTATATAATGGGACACTTTGGAGTTCTCTGAAACGGACAGCACGTAGTCACCGGGGCTGGTTATTGAGTCCCTCACCAGGAAAACACCATGTCTCTGTCCCTGTAAAAGAGAAACCGCCTCCTGGCGACTTAGCCTTCCCCAGTACCAGCTAGCACGGTCTTCAGCATCAAAATTACCGGCCATGGCTGTGAAATCCTGTCCGAGGCTTGAGGCCTTTCCCCTTCGCCTCTCCCTATCCGCAACTCATACAAAAACTTTAGTTGACTAACGCTGCCGCTGAAAAAAACAAAAACAGTATAATGCCAAGACTTTAGCAACTTCCACCAAAGAATGTCGAGGCGTTTAAGTTGACTGGGTTAATGTTGCACCACAAACCCCTATTTTTCTACTGCTTAAACGTTAAAATGACAAAAAATATTCAAAACTAATGTGCAACAAGAAACTCCAGGACTGAAATGGCGGATCTAGGGAAACGTTGACCTCATCTACCGGAAGGGATGCCTGGTCAATGGGAAGCGCTGCATTCACGCCCCTTAAAAAACACCGTAGATAAGACTTAACGTTCTTAATGTCTCTTTTAAATTACAGCACCTTTTTACTGCTGCCCCCATTGTATATTGAGCATGTCTTTAAATCCTTATCCTTCTTGGTGTAAATGTTAAAACCCAAAGGAATGACTCAGAACAATGCGGTAGCTTAAAGAGTTCACAGTATATTATGACTAGTTTGAGGCCGTAAACGCACCACAAATTACACTTTTCTGCAGGTTTTGGCTGCTCCAAATCAGTTTTTAACAGTTCACAAAGATGCGTTTTTTGGGTATCACACGAATTTCTTTCTTTCTTTCTTTCTTTCTTTCTTTCTTTCTTTCTTTCTTTCTTTCTTTCTTTCTTTCTTTTTTTTTCAAAAAAGAAAAGAAAAGTCAAACCCTAACCCAAAATGCAACAAGATGTGATCTCAAAATGACCTTTTTGAGACCCCACACTTTAATGTTTCAACTGATGTGAATGTTAACAATACCACTATGTTATGATGTACATGTGAAAGCTGAGATCAGTAAAAGTTTTTGTGAGTATTTCCAGTTCTCTTTTTAGCTTATTTATTGCACAATTTAAGCACAATTGAGGTCGGAACATTCTTTAGATAGTTAAAATGAAGGTTTGTAAAGATAAATAATTATTTTAAAAAATGCAAATTTAAAAAAAAATGCAATTTTTGGTCAGTAGTCTTTTGCACTAAATAGATTCTGCCAGTAGATGGCAATGTACACTGTTATATAGTCAATGAATCTTTTCCTGACACAGTTTGTAGAAAAATCTTCATTCTTCAAAAACCTTTATTTGTCATTGTGACCAGAAACCTACATAAATAAGATTTTCATCAAGGGTTCTCCAACTGAGTGTGTAATTAATTTGGACCCTGGAAGTAATGCATCAGTCATGGATTATAACCGGTTCCCCATATCATAATTAGTCAGTTAGGGCTGCAATTAACAATAATTTCCGTTATTGATTAATCTTCTTATTATTTTCTCAATTAATAGATTATCTGTTTAGTCTATAAAATGTCAATAAATAGTGAAGAAGTGAGTCCAAGGTCACATGTTTATATGTCTTGTTTTATCTGGCCAACCCAAAACTGCAAAAATATTTAATTTAAAATAAATTCAAACTGAGAAAAGCAGGAAATCTTCATATTTGAGAATGAAAACAGCATTTTTGGATTAACTGCTTGAAAAATGACTGAAACAATCAGTTACCAAAATTGTTCTTAATTATTTTTCATTGATCGACCAATTAATAATTGTTGCAGCTCATCTGAAACCAACATTAAAAGAGAGTAGTTTGACATAAATATATTAACCGAAGATGCACTGATAAGGAAGGTGCACTTTCATATAGCTTTCAGCTGCATTTCATGGTCATCCTCAGCAGGTGGAGTTGGCTAAGTTGTCATCATGTGACTTAAGTATGGCACTTCGGTGATGTGATGACAGCTAAGAGCTACGTTTTGTTGTCCTTATATTGTGTAATAGTGTAAACATTCATAGTGTAAAAATACCTGCAATCCCTGGTCGTGTCATGCCAAGCGTTTTCAGTGGCGGCGGCCAACACTAATAAATTTCATATCAGTCTCACTGACTGACTGAGCTTGGAGTTTGGCTCCTGGAGTTTATTTCTTGTGCCATTGAAAAACATGACACTCCTTCATGCACATTGTTAATATTTAAATTATTTACAGTCTCTGTCTCTGCTGTGCTGTGCAGTCTGACACTGATATAATAAAAATAAAACAAATATTATAAAATAGCTTTATTCTGCCACATTACAAGAGTCAAAAGGCAAGACTTTAATTTATTGTTACTGGAGCATCTCTAACTTTTAATTTGTAACATCACTGATCGATCATTCCTCAAATTTGCTTCCTTTTATTACGGCTTTGTTATTGATGTGAGAGTTACACAAAAGCCCTTTTTAGTTGTAAATACAGCAACATTAGAGCCACACACATCACAATACTTGTCATAAGACACTGCATTTTAAGAATCAGTAGTCCACTATGAAAGCTAAAGGGAATGGGGGGAAACTGGTGAACACATGCATACAGTATAAAACTGTGACTGTGTGTTGACAGAGAAAACTACTTGTCAAACTCTACTGTCATAGTTTAAGTGGATTCACAGGGTGGTTTTGGGCTCCACATTAATTCAGCCCATTCAAAGTGTTCACAACACACTGTGGTTAAAAACATCTAGATTATTCTCATCTACTCTGATACAGAGTTATTCAAACTTCTTCAGGTGGTTGTAGAGGGACTGGACGTATGTAAACACACACATGGGGTCTGGCTTGTCCCCCATCTCTATCATGTCCTCCACCTCGATCAGACGGAGACAGTCAGCCTGCTCCCTGAAACATAAAAGCATCATATGGTAGTAAAGAGGAATAAAAGTTAAATAAATAGAGAAATGCTGACATAAAGTTAGAGTCATTCATTTCCAAGGCACACGTAGACTGTAGTACCTTGTGGAAATATCAATTACTCCAGTGTAATCAAAGTACACACACTTGCTCGCTCACTGCCTCACTCAGTCCATTCTAGCCTGCTTACTCTGCAGTGGTGAACGCCAGCTGTAAGTTGTGTTTGCGTTTCGCGGGGTCCAGCGTGTTGTAATCAAACTCCAGAGGGAAGAAAGAGTGAACCAGAGCACAGAAAGCCATCCCATCGCTCCAGCAGGACGAGAAGTTCTGAATGTCTATGTTCTGAGAAAAAGACGACGAGGGCGCCACATTTAAGACGGAGAACAACATGGTGCCACATTCATGCATTTTCTCCTCATCACTTTCCTGCCAAATGATCACGGCACTTTATAAATACGTTTTACAATTCCTATTTTTAATGCCAATTTATTACTTTTCCTGTGACATCCTTGTTCCTCCATAATTATGAGAGACATGGCAGAAGAGGAATATACCGCGTATCCCGCTGTCGTACCTGATAGCCAATGGTTTTTGAGCGGCACCACTCCAGGAGAATCTGTTTTATACCACTGGCACTGGACACTCCGAAACTCTGAGAGCGCTTCAGTTTCGGCTTGGAGTCCTTCGGCCTGTGGCAAGAGAAATACAGCTCACCGTACCGCAAAATGTCAATCATCTCCGGGGCTGAAGATACACTAATGAGATAAGATACACTTACTTGGTCGGCTCTGAGTTCATCCTTTCAAAGAGAGCCCGTTTGGCCTGAGCCCCGTTAGAGCGTGGAAGCGTTTGTGATTTCATTATATCCTGTTTAAACTCAACCCCCCCTGGCTTGTTCGTTTTCCTGTGGAGAAACACGGCATCAGTGAAACCATAGAAAACACTGAGTTCATTTAATGTTTTTTTTTTAAATCAGAATCAGAATTCACGCTCATGACTTACTTTTCCAAATTAGGCGAGAAACCCGATTTTATGATTGATTTGGAGGGAAGTAATTTTTCTGCAGTTAGAGAAAAACAAAATAATGCAAACTACGTTAACAAATCACAAAAACTAAAGCCTCTACCTGCAGATATGGAAAGTTTAATTTATTTTACCTGCAGACTGAGGGAAGCTCACACTCCTCTTCAGACTGGGACTGGGTGTCTTGAGAACTGGTACTGAATTGATGAGGTGATGGTCAGGGTTAGGGGGTTATATAAAAAAACCAAACTTAAAACTTATATTAACAAATGAAAGAATATAGAGTTGAACTCACCCCGCTTAAAGGGATACTCCCCAGGTTTTACTGTAGGGTCCTGTGATGCCGAAATATTTGAAGATGGCGCTGGAGTAGCTGATGATAAAGACTCCGTGTTGGGTTTGGTGATGGCAGAGAGAGTCAAGTGTGGCTTGGGTTCGCTGACGTCTAATGAAAACATACATGAGCTATTTACACCTTCTTTGATGAGCGTTTTTACATATTTTCAGATCTCAAAACAAACCAAGTAGCCATGTACTCACCACGTCTAAAGGGATATTCGCCTCGCTTTATTGTCGGGGATTGTGGCACTGAAGGATTGGGTGCAGAAGCAGGACTCTGATCAGATTTAGATGGAGCAGAAGTCTCAGAGCTGCTTTTGGTTACAGCTGTGAGGGGAAAATGAGGCAAGGCCTGAGATCCAGAGCCTGACTGCTCCTGGGACCTCAGCTCCTTTGCCCCAGATGTACCTGCACAGGTGGAGATAGAAACAATAATACATATATATATGACTATAATCATTTTAAAGTGGTTGGGTGCTCGGGTGCTCCACAGTGATTGGTAGGGCCCCCAACAGTCTCTGTGCCAGGGTTTCATAGGTCATTGCTGTAGTATTACTAGGTGGTCTTTAGACGTTTGCCAGGGTGCGTCCTGTTCCACTTGGTTGACATAGTGTTGCTAGGCGGTTGTTACAGGATCCAGAGTGGATGTTGACTGGGATGTAGGGCCCTCGGGTTGGTTGTTCCCAGGATGTTGCTAAGTTACTGTTTGAATGTTTAGTATAGTTGCTAGCGCATTACTAGATTATGACTAGCATGGTTGCTATGGTTGAGCGGTAACAGGGCGTTACTAATGAGTTGATAAGTGATCCCGAAAGTGTCGCTAGGTGGTTGCTGGGGTGATAAGCATCATTGCTCATGTGTTATGGTAATAAGAACAATGGGTAGGAGCTTCATTATCTAAATTAGACTGTTTATTACTACGCAGACAGAAACATAAAAAAATAAAAATATGTTTTCAGAGGAGTTGCAGATGTCAAATCCCAAGAACGCATCTCAATAATCTGCAGTGTCTGTTCACAAGAACCCGTAAACTGACCTCTTGTGAAAGAATATTCCCCTGCTTCCCCTGCGGGAGCCTCTGCTGCAGGATGGCCGGCTGCTTTAGGGACTAAAGCTGGAGACGGAGCAGATTTGGTGGTAAGCAGACCCTCAGGACTGGCTTTGGTTGTCATGGCAGTGACAGGAAGATGGGGCAGGGGTTCGTCAGCATCTGAAAAAGGGAGAATCTGAATAAAAAATGAAGTCAAAGTGGAATGGATGGTTAAAAGCACTCAGTTAATGTGTCCATTAATGTGTGATTATGCATCTCCATCCTCGGAGAGTTCCCGACACTGGGGAGACACGTAACAGAAAACGGCTGCATTAAGGAGAAATTAACATTTTGAGAATTGAATTTGGTTACACTGGCAAAGCAGATTCACTGGTATCAAATAAATGGTGAGATGTATTGATTACACAGCAGAGATTGCATCTCCCACTCACCACGTTTAGCAGAAGACTCCGCTGATTTCGCGGGAGTTTCTTTTGTAGCTTTGAGCACTGAGGCGGCAGGAACAGACGGAGCTTCGGAGCTGGCTTTCGTCATCGCAGTGAGGGGAAGATGAGGTTTGGTCAGAAGACCTGAATCTTCCTGGTCTGGAAGAGAAAAGTTGGATTAAGTTCTATAGGTTTCTAGACATCACTGTTCAACAACTTCACAAATCACTGAAGGTAAAAACTATTTTAATGTGTATAGATACTAAAATAATTTGAACTGTAAAGCTTGTTATAGCTGTACAGCTTTAATGTAACCCTTTGATAAATTAGAGTTGTATTATTGATATTATATGATATGGACCAACCACTACTGACTGTGACTCTACACCCTGGTGTCCATGACGATGGACAACATGACTGAACTGATCAACACTGGCCTTTCAGAATCGATTTTCAACTTCCCCAAAACTATATTGTGGATCTTATTTAATCTTTATTCATCCTGGAATATTATGGACAGTTTCATTTAGAGACTTTTACACCTTACTGAATACTTTTTAAAGCACTTTGTATAAACTTAAATATTATTTATTTCTCTTACAGTGAATCCATCCAACAAATATGTTTTCCGTGTAAAGTGAAGTGTGTTATATGTGAACGGCAATCAGCTGACCGGGCTTTTTGGGTGTTTCCACTGTAGACTGAGGAGAGTTCGTTACGACGGGAGACTCTGGGCTCGGCTTTGTGACGGCGGTGAGAGCCTGGTGGGACTGGGGAGCAGCTTCGGCACTTTGGGCTGCATCAGAGTCCACGGATGAACCTTCTGTGAAAACATAACCAAAGGTGAGATCGGCTCGTCGGGTCACCGGTGTTGAAACCTTTTTCAGATGGTCTGCCCACCTTGCTTGCCGTTCTCCTCTGCGGCCGTGGCGACATTTTTCTCTCCTTTTGCATCAGTGCCCTGCTCAGTGAAGACAAGAGGTTCAAAACGTGCACTTCTGTTATTTTAGGTCGACAGTGTCTTTTCATGAATGAAACTAGGTCATCCACAATCTGGTACGGTCACTCACAGCATTGAAATAATAGACCACGTTAATGGAGGACTGGCACTGTGTTTTCTGGCTTGACACTTTCTTTTTAAAGAGTTTAGTTTTGCAGATTTTACAGATGTTCATTAATTGAAGAGCTTTAATGATTATTTAAGTGCTTTTACAATAAGACACCATTACTCCTCTGCTGTACCGACTTTTTTTAAAGTGGTAAAAATGCATAATTCAGAACAAATTCTTCCCTAACTGCCCCTTGGATTCATGTCAGAGTAGAAAAAAAAAAACAAGTGAAATTCACCGTCTAAAAATTCAGTATGTAACCTCTTCTAATTTGGAGTCTGAATCAGGCAGGGCTCAGTTTGATGGGGGCATTCAGACGTGACCAGCACATCAGCTTTGCTTCATTTGGCTGTCTTGGTAATGGCATAACCTTGAACATGGTGGTGGGTGATGCAAATTTAAAGTGAAAGTGGGAGAGGGTGGGTGGGGGTGTAATCTACCCATAATGTGTTAGTTTTAAAAAAGAATAGTAAAACTGAACGTGTAAAGGATCACAGTTCCTTCGTTAGCCTTTACCCCAGGAGGGTAAATGAGTTATGCAACACGTGCAGCTGACTGTCTGTTTGTACATTTGCCTTCAGAAAATCACTTACTAGGTTTTTGTTTTTGTTTGGTCTCCAACAATATTCAGCTCACAACAAACAAAGAGACTCCTTCTGTCTTTCAGACTGCTGCATGCTGTGGAGCTAAAAATATTTTTTTTCATTGTTATCATTCGTGTTAAATCTGTGTGTGTGTGTGTGTGTGTGTGTGTGTGTGTGTGTGCGCGCTAACTTCTCTGCATTTGTGATTCTCAGCTGTCAACAGCTGAAAGCTTCTCATTTAATGTCAGCTGTGGCCAACAAACCCATGTTCCCACTGAGAGGCTATTTTAGATTTTGCAATCAGCCCCTTTGCAAGAGTTTCCGCTCCGCTCTTCTTACGTCCCGATATAGCCCCAAATGGATGCTTTGGAAATCAGAGAGTTAGCCCGGGCGGTTCAAACAGTGCCTAAGTATATCAGCCCGAAGCTTTGGCCTGTGTTTGCCCCTTCTTCCACCCCCCATCCCCCCCTCAGCCTTTTGCTTTCCAGAGACACGCAGTGGTCTGGCAGCCTCACAATAAAGCCATTGCAGCCAGTCCGTCAACTCATCGTCAGGAGGGAGATTAGCACCACAGTGATCTGTGAGCTCCACAGGAGCTGCTGTGGGATATCACAGTCTCACCCTGTTAATCTCTTCAACTCCTGGCCGAGTTTACCTCCATGTCACTTCGGCTGCTTAGAAACATGCAAACATACTGACAAACACACAAACACATTACAGTAAATCACCAATGAGAAATTATTCTGACTGTTAAAGTCACAAAGAAACACTTTCCCATTATTTCTCATATTTGAAAATCTCATTACATGAATTTATTGTATGTAAATAAAAAAAGCAAGAACACTGGGTGTGTCTCTTTAAAGCTGCACTAAACCATATTTTCATATTAGCAATGAATCAAATGGCTTTGTAGATCTGCAGCTTCCCTTTAGATCTACAGAGCATTTTAGCATCTTTTAGCATCTTTCATCATCTTTCAGCTCCTTGTTATTGTCGCAACGCCTAAACTTTACTGTAAAGTCTAGTGTTGCTGCTCTCATCAAGCTCAGAACCCACTGAGCGCTTCCTGTCCAGTACCAAATGGCGAGACAGACAAAGTTAGCGACTAGCTGGTGAACACAGCGGAGAATTTAGCAGATAAGGAACCTGATAGGAGACCAAAAAAGAACAAGATGGAGAGCGTGTTTTGGACACAAAAACACAACTCCAAATAAATGCTAATGCTGCTTTATGTCTGCTGTATGCGTAAATATGTAAATGTTTGCTAACATGTGGTTATATGGTTAAATGGAGTAAGACTTCAGCTGTTTACTAAGATTTTCCTGGAGCTGGATCTTGTGGACATTAGTGTTACTAGATCTTAAGGCACTTGGCGCTGGCAATGGTTCAAATAGTGATAATGTTTCTCAGTTTTTGGACAATCCTTCCTCAAAGACATTGATTCATTAATTCCAATTTTACCTGCTTTTTCACTCACTGCATGACGTGTTCGTGCGTGACGGAGTGAGGCCTGCTATTGCCAGCTGTGGTGACATAGTTGACCTCAATAGGATGATGTCAAATTTGAAAATGATGGAGTATAGTATTAACTGATGAAACAGGGGGGCTATCTTAGTACTGGGGGGGCGGGGGGGGTTGAAGAGTTTTACGTCAGAGTGGTGGGAGGGGGGACCAGGTGATTTCAGCAGAGAGGAATGTCAGCAGTGTGTGTTACGAGGACAGCTGGTTGCCCCTCTCAGGGTGTGAGTCGGGGGTATTATTGACAGGGATGTAGATGCAATTCAACTTTCCATTAGGAGATTTGAGAGCTGGATTGGCTGGGAAACAACATTCCTGAGCGATTGGAGATTTATTTATATACCTGTCTTCAGAGTTCGAGTGTGAGTTACGTCATAAAAAGGAAAAACAATTTGTGCGCTGTCCACACTGTCAGAAGAATGTGGAGTAGTAGACTGACCTTGTTCTCCAGGCCGTCTACTACATCCCTGGCTGTGAGCTCTTGAGCTCAGTTACAAAGTCCAAGCACTGAATTTATTGATTATGAATTGATCATTTAGACCTGCATTCCTTGTGACTATCCCCATCTCCATTCGTGTGTGCGAACAGTGGTGTTTTAAAGGTGAGGAAGAAAAAGCTGAAGTTGGTAAAGAGCTGCAGCTCAGTCCCAAATCACAGACCCAAAAATACATGTGCCCTTTGGAGGACCTGCTGTTCTAACAGCGGGTCATGAGCAGAAGAGGGATGTGATGGGGGGTAGGGACGAGCGTTAAGTGTGCAAATATGCATGTTTGTGTCGGTGGGGTAGTTTCTAAATTCACTAATGTAAGGATATATAATGGTAATTGTATAATTTTCAAGGTTAATAATACTAGATGATTATTATTGGTCTCCAAATGAAAATATAATATCTAATTATATTAATGGCAAGTGATGCGGAGCCTATAAGGCGCTGCTTATACCGCTGCTCCCCAGATAAATGTGTGATGTCAGAGGTTAAATATATATTAGACAAACATACCACACGGCTCAGATTCCTCTGATTCTAGTTGGGATCCTCCCTGACAGATTCAAATCCTGATTCTTATCCACCCTCTCGCACAGAGGTTTTTATAGATCAGGTGGGCTTAGTTCATAAGCATGTCTGATCTTTTGAAAGGTTACTTTTTGCATGCACAGAAAATAGCAGCTTTCCTCGCAGGGACATACACGTATGTAGTCGTGCCATTTAGGTTAAAGAATGTACTAACGTGTTCCAGCGAACAGGGTGGTTTCCGGATGGATGATGCTGCGATCTATATCGATATTCAGGGCATTCCCACATTGTTTGAGCAGCTGATAGGGACACAAGGCGCATGCTAAGTGTGAGTTCACAAGGCTGAAAGCAATGAACCTTGGAGAGGATGATGTATGGGGTCAGGTGTGCCTGTTACGAGCCAAACGCTTACACATAGAAAAGTACGTCCCTCAAAACTTAATGACATAGTTGCTCAGGGTCCTTGGCGTGGTGGTGTACTGTAACACTGGCTGTGTTTAAACAGACATTAGCACAGTAGCACATTCATTTCAATGAGGGCCACTGTGTTAATGTAACAAGGGTGCAGAGGGCTAACGCAACGCACCAGCCATGCATGGGTACGTTACATTCCTGGTATATTAAATTGTAGTGCTTTATGTAATTTGTATTATGTATCTCACAAGTTTTGTGATGGATTGTCACTGTGCTATGTTTACAGGGTTGTAAAGTCACAGTAGTATACACCACTGTGCAGTGTTTTAGCCTCCGATAAGCCTTCAAACTCAGGGATCTGTCAGTGGAGGGGAGTTAGAGGTGAGCTAAGACCTGGTGTATATAAATTACTAATTCTCCCGTTGACCAGCTTTACTACACCCTGTGCATCTTGTTCACCCATCCGCATTTTATTCCGTAGACTGTATGATCTGCAGAAAACACAACAACAAGAATACTCACGTTAATCTCAGCATGTCTCTTTGCTCTCCATGGAGCAGCAGCAGCAACAGCAGCAGCAGCGTGGCTTGATCCTCCACTTGACCCACATGATTCAGAGATTGTGGATGTGGACTGGCTTGACAGGAATTCCTCTGATCCTCCAGAGTTGAGCAAACCCGTCTTGTCTTCCTGGATCTTGGACTGTATCTGTACGTGTCCATTCTCTATACTTTCCTCCCTGTTCTTCCCCGTCACTTGAGCGGGACTCTTCCCCACTTTTACCCCGGCAAGACCCTCCACCAGAAGGCTGAGGGCCTCCAGCTTTGCCCTGAGCTGCAGGTTCTCCTCCTGCAGCCTGGTCACCGCCTCGGCCAAGGGTCCGTTGGAGATGCACACCTCCTCGATCCTCTGCTCTATGCGCTGCTTGAAAGCACTTACGTCCACGTGTACCTCCCTTATAGCAGCTTGCAAGGTGGTATTGAACTGAACAAGAGCCTCACTTACCATTTCCTCCTGAACACCCTCTGTAGCTGTATCCATGGCTTTTTTAGCGACCCTCACCACCTCTGCGTTTCAAGTCAAATGAGTGGACGGGGTGGTCGGCGTGGAGATCAGAAACCAAAACCTTTCTACTTGTCTTGTCTTTCACCTCTTCACTTCGTTCTCTGGTTCACCTCCTTTAAATCTATCTTTGAGTTCTTGACCAAATTATTTTTCTACTCTACTCCTTCCAGCTAAAATAATTCAGAGGTATCTGTGGTGTTCCATGCCAGTTTTCCAAGTTGAAGATGCAAATGGTTTTCAAAGGACGACCAGGGGTGCAGCGTTCCTCGGCAGCAGCACACTGAAGTCCAATCGAGCTCCATGGAGGACTTCTCTCAACATGCGTATTCTCTTACTCTCTCCTCTCATCTGGTCAAAGCAAGAGCGGTTGTTATTTATAAGTCATGGAAAACTCATGCACAGTGTCATCTCGGGAAAAGAGATTACGTACTGCACGGGCAGATCAGGTTCTCGGTGCGTGCAGGAGCTGAGGGATGATCAAACTAACCTTTCCAAGGGATCCGGTGGAGGTGGCAGACGTCCTCTCTGGTAGTGCATCCACGATGTGTTTCCTCGACGTTTACCCCTGCTGCCCCTTCCCCAGTGTGTTGTCGAAGCTATCTGTGTCTCCCATGCTTGGGAGCAACAGGTTCGCCTGTATTTTGGGATGTAAAGGGGGGCGTGAAAAGATCAAATGGGGAGGAGGAGCCAGGATTATTCAAATGGTTTTGTCTCTTTGCTGCTGGTAAATCTGTATGAAGTGACAGCAGAGAAGGTGACTGCAGTTTCCTGGGGGTCAATGATGTGATGTGAAGAGTAATCTCATTCTGAGAGGAACTTAAATAAGAGATCACCAACAAAGCTCAGCGCGAATATTTAAATTTACCCCAGTCTAAGAAAAGGCAAGTTTTTCTAGATTAAAGACAAGGCTCTGATTTTGAGAACCTACACACAACCAGAGGGGAAAACTACATAATTAAGTTTGTACCAGCTAAAAATCTGAAGATCTTAGATGTTCATGCAACACGTCACATTCAAAGAGAACTGATGAACACACTAGTAATTAGTTACAGGTTAATGTTAGGTATCTATCAATATCTCTAGTAATGTGCCTGAGTCAGAATGTTAAACATCACTGGTTTATTATCACACCAAACAATAATTGTAGTGCATTTCTTTCTTCCAACCTAATGTTTGCCACTATAGTTGTGATACATCGCTAATAAAGTTGTAAGCAGACGTAAAGACATTTCAGGCGTTGTGTGCAGGATTTGTCTTGTGTTTTACTATATTCTCATTCATCAGTTTTAGTTATGAATACATGAATAAACAATTAATAAATCTCCTTACAGTTACATTTTGTGTTGTGTAGGTTAAAGTTAAGTTTTTTATGTTATTATTTAGGCAAAATGTTACATGTAAAGAAATAAAATGCTCTGAAACATGATAAAAGAGCACGGTCTGGTTTATTCTATCCACAGATTTTAGCATCATAATTCATTTTACACTTGGAACATTTGTGTTTTTGGAAAGAGCAGTAGACAAACATACCACTGTCAAAGTCTGTGTGTGTAGAAGATCACGGCTCAGTTTCAGTCAGCTTGAGCCAGCAGCGCCTCTGTGTGGCCATGACTTCACATTACAACTGAATGAAGCCCTGCAGGAACCATAACTACACGTACACACTGAACAAATGCACACAGTGAATAAAAGAGAGGAACTGCAAAGCATGTGAGGAGAAAATGTAGATATTTTTTATTTAGCAGTAGCAGTGGTCTCAGGCTGCTTTCTCTGCAAGTTTCTTTATGTAAATTTAACTCAAATTCCTCAGCAACAAAACAAATACACACATTTCCTAATGCTGTATCTGACTACAGTCATATTAATAAAAGCTTCTTTGAATCTGATTGATCAGGGGAAATGTATGCAAAATGTGCTCTTGTATGTTACTGTACCCATCTTTACCAAATGAAAAAATAAGACCTGACTAAAATGCATGCAGACTTAACAAGGAAAACAAAACAGAGGCTTGTTCAAAACAGTCTATCAAATCAAATTTATTGAATTTTAAAGGGGTGCTCTGAATTCACAAGTTGCAGCTACAGTACATAACTCCTCTTACATCAATAGTTTTGTGTTATGTCAAAAAAAAAATTTCTCTTTTCAGATAGGAAAGTTCCTCAAAAACAAAAAAAAAAGGTCACACTACAAAAAAAAAAGGACAGATGCATCAAATCTGATATATATGTATGAAAAATTAGAATGCTATCAAAAATAATGTGGGGCAGGAAGTGTTAAAGGTTGTGAAGGTGCTGCATTTAAGTCAGTTACACGCCCGTCGCAAAAAAAAGGTGACTATTATGAACAGCAGGTCAACGTTAAAATCCAAATCTCTGAAACATAACATCCACCAAACTTGACAGATGAAAGGTCTAAAACAACAGAGACACAGCAAACATATTCAAGACTACGGTACGTCTATGCTTTAAAGGGTTTCATCCTCATATGATGCATAGAAAAACAACATTATGGGATTTGCTCGATAATCGGAAAATATAGATTAAAATGCTACAAAATGTGAAATACGACAACATATTAATGTAAAAGGCTTTAATTTCAACAGAATTAAATGACACTTTATTCTCTTTCTAGCAGTAAATGCATAGCAATCTGTTTTAAATATTTTTCCCCCAGTTAAAGTATGAACAATAAGATTTTTAAAAACAAACAATGAGACTTTTCTCCATCATTGCCGTGAACACCAAAATGACTGAAAGTGTAGTTTTCCTCAAAGACATGATGATGATGATGATGTTGATGATGATGATGATGGTGACGATGACGACGACAATAAACGCGATAAATACAGCCACAACCTGTAAACACTGCCTGCCAGCTTAGCTCTTTCATACTGAGATTTGCGGGTATCACAAATAGATTTTTCACAAGGCACTGGAAACCAAATTTGGTTCACTGTCCACAGATCAAAATCAGTGCCAGCAACACAGTTTCTGCAGCGCTTCAGTCGAGTTTACGTGCATTTCATCAGTCTAATGCCGCGTTCGCGTCACGTCAGAAGAAAACCTGACAACAGTTTAAGTGTCATTTTGGTTCCAGAGGCTGTAATCACGCTGATATCATGTCGTCTGATCCCGGTGTAAGATGCTTTCCATCCAACATGACATGAACACGGCATTAGACCGCAATTCCTTTTCACCGTTCTATCTCTATGCCCAGAGACGAAGGACCAACCCTGCAGGGATATGTGACGATTCAAAGCAGCAAAATTATACAATAAGTGTCACGTGACAGAAGAGACCCCCCCCCACCACCACCCCACCCCAACACACTGTTATCATCACCATTCACATCTCAACAATCCAGTTACTCCCAAACATGACAGAAATGTGCGTTACTGTCGTACTGCTCAGCGTACTGGTTTGTTATTTGTGGATGTAAAAATGACAAAACATGTGCCTTTGTCAGCTTGCCCTGTAAATGATGGGAAAATAGACACCAAAATTAGCCACTGCAGTTTCCATGGTTATTGATAATTGTGCTATTTGCAGCACCTCTTAAAGATGTACACCATCTCCCCTCAGATGAGATGGAGCCAAGTCTCATGCATTTTTAGACAAAAAATGTAATACAAGTAGTGTTTTGTACCAAAATGGAGATTTACATTTTCACACTGCAGCATTATTGGCTACAACAACAAGCCACACTCTGCCCTGCAACATTTATACAGCGTCTTCTCAAAGAAAGTTTCTGCAATCTGCTTTTCTGCCAAGGTGTTGGCATCGAACGTCTCCCATCTGCCCTTCACACAGGAGAGCTGTCAAAACCTAAAAATGGGAGCTGAACTTAATGAAAGCTAACAAACTACTCTCTTTTTTTCTTTCTTTTTTTTTAATGCTAAAATTTTACCAGCTGATGCCCATTTAGCTTAGAATATGAACATAAAACCACAGTTATTTTAACACTACTGGTCTCAATGTTGTGTAGGCCCATGCTAACATGTTAGCATGGGGCTTACCATCACTTTAACATAGTGTGTGATAAGGTGCTGGCTTTAAACCACCACTCACACATATATTAAATGTTAGCTTGGTGCTTGCTGTCACTGAAAAGTTTAAGAATTAGCATGTAGTCTATATGCACTCTCTAGCACTATGTGCCAAGGTGTTAGCATGGAGTGAACTCTCAGTCAAAACAATGTTAGCAAGAGGCAGACTATTGCTCAACATAGTGTAGGCACATGCTAAACAGCGTTAGCGTGGTGCAACAGAGCTAGTGTTGTGCTCGGGTTAATTGTGGTGTCCATGTTCTCATTCAACAGGTGGCACACGATTAAATTAGATCCTTCATACAAAGCTAAGGAACAGGAATCATATGTAAAATAAAATCATTATGTAGATTCAGTAAAATGTCACTACCCCATACAGTATGTTTAAATGCAGTGTATGTATAGGTTGCACGTTAGTGTAGAATGGACTAAACCCCTGATTAGTGTGTGTTTGCTCCAATACGTGCTCAGAGGAAACATCCATCACAACCCCACCGTGTTGGTCGCTCTCCGGGATCCAAACAAAAGAGGATAAGACTGGAGGGTAGTTGTGTTTGTAAGCGAGAAGCGGGTCACTTAGCTATTAAGACAAATCATCTACAGCATGTCTAAACTACTGAAAATCAAATGGATCTCTCGTCATATATCACTATAGTCACTATGATCAACTAAAGTGCCTGACAGTCTTTGGTTTACCAACTCTCGGGAGTTGAAGTATCACAAGCCGTGTCAGAAAGCATAAATAGAAGAAAAATCTATAAGGAAAAATAATCTTAAAAAAAGAAAAGAAAAAAAAACACATAATAAAGAATCAGCATATCATTCTAGATGTGATCATCTTTAGTCTGTCTCACAGTTCATCATCTTACAATAAACCTCTATACACACATATGTCAACAACTTTATCAAACTTCATCAAACCCTGAGCAAAGAGGTGGAACTTAAGACTTTCTATATTAAGAATCTATTGAGTGACAAAGACTATACCTGTTAAGATATGTGTACTCTGCGTGCCATGAAGCGTTTATGATTCGTTCGATCCTCCGATTTTAGGATCAGACGCTGTTTATGTGCAACGTAATTTTATGTGGCAGTGGCTCGTGATCCAGCAGCTTTGAAACTTACAAGGACTAAACACCGTCGTCAGGTCAATGGAGAAAACCTTCGGTTAATCTCCCATTAATTTATTCGATATCATTTTTTTTTTCTTTTTGCCAGTCAACATCAGTCAATTTGAGAATAATTTTCCAGATATAGAAATATTATTTTAATTTTGCACATATCCTTAAAAACATGCAAGTGAGGATTAAAGTTTGTTTGAAAAGAAAGCATAAACTTCTTAAATAAAATAATTTTGATGATAAAAAAAAAAGGGAAAATGTTATTGAAAAAGAGTGAAATGTCATATTTTCTATATAAATTCCATGATTTCAAAGCTATGCCTGGGGACTGCTATTAAAATATTAAAAAGGTCCAGCTCACTGAACTTCAGATTTCATTCTCCATAACTGTAAAATGGACCTGTCAAAATAAGAGTCCATGAGTTTAAACT